ACAAAAAAAAAAAAAAAAAAAAATTAAAAAAAAAAAGAAAGAAATTCTGTGTGGCAGAAGTTCTGTTCCCAGTGATGGAAAACTAATATAGCTACTTTTGTAGGTGATGGATGTTCAGAGCCTCCACACGGAGCTTCCACACAGTGCCAGGCAAGGAGGACCAGCTGCACACTACGACAGGATGCTTCTGGCAGGCTCCCTTCCTCGTGGTAAGGTCGGCAGTTCACAGCTCGTCCAGTTTCCGTGCCTGCACCACCATCCAAAGGCGCAGACAGCTCCTCGCCAGCTTGCAGAACCTGTGCCCCATTAGCTCTGTGACTTAGACTCGGTGGATCAGAGATGCTGGTTACGGTGGGTGGAGCATCCTTCCAGGGAACAGCATAAAGGGCTCCTTGGCATCTGAAGCCACAAACACCACCTGGTCACTCTAAGCTCCTAGGACCATGGGGTCAGCAGGCAAACAAAAAAGTAGGTATAAAAACCAATGAAGTTAACTGAACTTGATGGTCCTGAGATGCCAGGTCGCTACTATATTCTGTGGGCAGAGCTTATCTGGAACCAGGGGCACATCTTCCTGCCCTCATGCCCACTGGGGACTGAGACACAGGGTAACCTGACTGAACGAGGACAGGCCAGCAGGGGCTGGGGCTCTTTGTAGATGTCGGGGTCACCCTAGCCAGCAAGCAGCCTGGACCAGTGGGAATGGCTGCATGGGGCGGGGGTAGCAAAGACCAGAGGCAATGAGCAGTATCTACTACATCCCTCAGGACTGATGGTCATCCACCAAGCACACATTAAGTCTCTCACAGGGACTTCCAAGGCCTCTTTGAAGAGTTTCTTTGAAGAATCCATTAAAGCAGATGTACTGCGGAGAACAAGCAAAGCAGAGCAGCCCAGGGGAGCTGTCACACTTCCATGCCCTGTCAGACTCGCCTCAGCCTCATCTCTCATCTTGGCTGCAGGTGGGTCAAGGGCCAGCACATCTCATCTCCTTCCCTCCCTTCCTCTTTTTCTCCTTTGTAGTAATGGGGACTCAACTCAGGTCTTGCACATGCTAGGCAGTCTACCACTAAGTGACACCCAAAGGGCTTCTGGACAGTCTTGGTAAACTGTCCAGTTTCACCTCAAAGTTTCCTGCCTCAGCCTCCTGAGCAGCTGGGATTACAGATATGCACCACAGAGACCATGTACTGTGTTATTTTCTAGTCCAGGGTCAATACAATAGAATGGATGGATGGAGGTTGAGGGTCGTGCACTATCATGTCCCTCAGCCAGGCCCCAGCTGTACTTAATCCATCCTCTTCTTCCTTTTCCCATGCTTCTAACCCCTCACTCCTGCAGCTGGATCACCTCCCACATGAACTCCATGCAGAGCCTGTCCCGGCCCGTTATGAGATGGGCCTCCATGCCCATGGCCCCTCCTTTAGTTCCTTTCCTGAGACACCTGTCCACCCACTGCTCAACTGGAAGCCCAGCTGTGATCTTGGCCCCTCCCCAACACCAGCATCCAGCGAGCTGCAGGTGGAGATGACTGCCACCTCCTGTGCACGGCTTGGCCACGTCCACTCCTCCTGCACAGCTGCGGCAACCCCTTGCCTGCATCTGTCTGCCAGAGATGCCTGCAGGACGATCTCTCCCCTGGCGCCTGTGCTCTAATCCCCTGCCTCAGTGCTCAGACAGGCATGCTGAGCTGCAGTGGATAAGCATGAGTTCACCCCATGGTGAGCACAGGTTCCAAAACCTGCAACTGTGGAACGCTCTGGGCCTGACTGCCCCCACGTTCAGCGGAATACTCAGGAGAAACAGAAGAGGTGGATAATGGTCCAAAGCATCTCCACACTTCTGGCAATACACTGCTCAGCCCAGGGTGGTGGGCTCTCTCCAGATGACTCCCACAGGGCCCAGCTCCAGTCCCCTCAGTCAGTCTTCAGTGCATTTCTATAGGGCACAGGAAACTAACAGAACAGGGAGATCTGGGGTCCAGGCTGTCATCTGGAGCTTGATCTCTCCTGGGCACATAGGCAACATCAGAAACAAAGATCAAATACCCAGGAATCTTTTTTTAATCGTTTTTAATAATTTTTTTTGCCTCATTTACCAGATAAATCATCTAAATAAATAGATGCTATAGTCTCTTACCAATATCAGTACAAAAATAAAACCGCGCTCTGCACCCACAGAGTCCCCGCACATACTTGACCGGGAAGGCATGCGCTCGCCCCCCCAACCCCAGTACATTCATGTAGTCTGAACAAAGCTTGGAGCTCATTCTGTGCAAAGGAAGCGTTCTTGTGCTGAGACCTGGCGGCCACTTATAAAGCAAAAAGCTATACCATCGTATAGACGCCCAGCGCCCTCCCCTGGAGCAGGAGGTGGGAGGAAATTGGCAAAGGGATCACCATCCCAAGAGAATGACGACCTCACAGCCCAGAGGAGCTTGTCCTGCACTGCAAGCGACTAGGCCGGGGTGAGGCACATTCTCACCCCCGGCAAAGGAGAAGTACCAGCCGGCCTCTACATTCACAACAGGTGAGGCAGGGGAAAGGGAGGCAGGTGGCATTAGGGCCCTCTCCCACCCCAAGAGTACTGGCCTTCTGGGGGTGCAACGGGGTGGGAGATCACTGCCCACCTAGGATATTCCAGGCTACGAGGTCACCAGTCGTGGCTGGAAAAGACCCTACAGCCCATAGCTTGGTTCCCCAGGGAGCCAGCTCACAACAGTCCTGTACCACATGGCTGCTTGAGCAAGTGATCTCAGGGCCACCCATCCCTGCCCTCAGCCCTTCCTGAACTGTCGAGTCCTGGGTGCCATAAAGGGCTGAGGAAGAGGAAGGTATGTTCTGCTGCTATCGACCAAAAACTGCTGCCTCACCCACAAGAAAGGACCCTGATCCACAGGCTGCAAACTGCAGGCAGCTTTGTAGGAGTTCCTGAGATGCAGGAAGTGGCTCTGCGCCCACTAGGAGTTGATGGCATGATTGCAACTGGGAGCTGCTGCAAGTCCCAAAGCTATGGACCAACACCTTCAGCTGGAAGGCAACCTTCACCCCCACACACTCCCCTTCAGCAGTCTCTGCTGGGAGCCCCTGCCCTGCCCCAAGAACCCCTAACTTCAGCTTTTCCACTTCCCAGGGTCCTGCAGCTGATCAGTGGTGATTCCCGCTGCCCCTTCCTCCCTGAGCCCCACTCCCACATTCTTCTATGTGCAACCAGGGTTGCGGGAGAAGCAGCTCACCTGCAAGGGATTGTCTCCCTGTGGAAGCACTGAATTGACCCTGGACAACTAGGAGTTAAGGATGGGAAGAGATGCGATTTGGGGATCTTGCTAAGACAACATCCCAAACAGAAATGGGGTACAGGCTATCTTTGGTTTGGGAACTGGGGAGGGGCAGGGGAGGAGTCACCTACCCTTGCCCCTAGAGATCCACTGACCTCCCAAGAACACAGCAGCAGGGGACAGTGCTGAGCTCTCCTACATACTGGTTCTACATTCAAGTCAGGCTAACAGTGGTGGAGAACAGGGGAGGACACCAGTCCATGCGCCCCTGGGACACCCAACCTAGCCCTTCTCCCGCACAGGGCTGGGATGGGGGAGAAGTCAGCCTATGAGACATCTCTGCAAACTAGAAGACAAGTCCCCTCTTCCTGTCAGATGCAGCCCGTTGCCAGGGTATGGGGCTTGTGCACAGCCTGACCCGCACAAAAACAAGGTCAACCCTGGCTGTGGCATTTAGGTTGGATGAGGAGGGGACACAGACTGGAAGGAGGCAGGGGTTCAGGAGACGAGGACTGCCCTGAGAAAGCGGGGGACACTCCCTCCACTGCCCACACCCTGCTGGCTGCACTGGAGAAGAGCACAGGAAAGAGTAACTGGAAGGGCCAAAAAGTCACCTGAGTCAGAAAGAACAGGAACCCCTGTGGGGGAAGGCTAGGTCTCCAGTGTCTCAGAGCCCGTGCAGACATATTGGCACAACTCGGCAGATGTTTGCCCACCTGTACCTGTCCAGGTACAACCACAAAGCCACACCTGCAAGGGTAGAGTGCCAGAGGCCACCGTGCCTGTGGCTAGGCCCCTCCATGATGGCTGTGAGCAAACAGAACTGAGACAGGTCCTGTCGCGTGGCATGCATACGAGGTGGCTGCGGGGGCTTCTGCGGCAAGTTCTTTTGTGCTATGAATCACCCCGCTCACCTGCTCAGGGGTTCTCAGGGAGGTGTGCAAGGCCCACTCGGGCTCATCTGTGGACACGCGGGTAGGTGTGAGTACACATGAGGTGGCTAGTGTTTTCAGGTAATGGGGCAGGAAAGGCAGCCACCTCTCTGGAGTCGGGCCCCAGCCACCTCAAACCCTCCACTTGTCCATGAACCCAGCCCCGGTGGTCAACACCAACCTTCCAGTCCCACAGCAAAGCTGGAGTGGGAAGTTCAAAAGAAAATCCAAGCCAAAAAAATTTAAAAAGTAAGGGTGGAGGGTAGCATGGGATACTGCTTGAGGCAGAGCTCTGGACTCCCCAGATTCCTAGAATTTGAGACAGGCATCCCAGGCAGGAGGCCCTGCGCCATCCCAAAAGAGACAACAGGGCCACCAGAGCACCCTCCCAGCCCCGCCCAAGGGCCTGCTAGAAATGTCCCTCAAAGAGCAAGGCGGGGTGACAGGAGGGTGGTGGGGTCTTCGCTCCTTCTGCTCAGCAGTTTTTAAAAATAAAATAGGGAACTCACCCCAACCCATCCCCATCTGTGGAGTTGCCCACCCAAGCCCCAAAGAAAACAGTTTAAGGACAGCGGCCACCGAGGCTCAGAGCTTCCCGCTGCGGTCCCGGAAGAAACCCTCGGCTGCCTGAGCCTCACGGAAGGTGACGGTGATGGAGTTGGCGGTGATGTCGGTCACGGTCACCTCACTTGAGGGGAGCGTGGGTGTCCAGGGAGAGGGCCCATCGGCCAAGTCTGCATCTGCTGCAGCCACAGGACAAAGACAGGGACAGGGACAACGACAGGTTGACAACTAGTAGATAGGAGGGAGGAGTGACAGCATGCAGAACACCCCCCACCCCAACCTGTGTCCTCTGTTCAGGGTTCCCAGCCAGGTCAGGACTCAGCTCAAGGAGACCACCATGCAGAAGGCACCATGCAAACCTTCCCCGGCTGGACAGACAGCTCCGGGCCAGGGCTCGGGTCCGGGTTGCTCCTCACCGCTCCCCCAGCTGTGTGGCTTCCCAGGCCCTCTGGACATGAGTCAGTGGGTCTGGTGACCCCCAGGGCCCTTCCTGGCTCTAAGGCCTAGGGGCAGGACCACCTTACCCTCCTCCTCAGGAGGCTGCTCCGTGGACTCCCACTCGCCAGCTGCCTGCAGGACCTCTGCGGCTGGTGGCTCCTGCAGGGAGAGCTCCCGTCGATGGCTGTGACTCTCCAGGTGGGGCCCACGGGGCGGGAACGTCTTGCGTGAGAGCCGCAGGTACTTGTGGGCCTTGTGCGGCTTGCAGAGCGGGAAGGGCAGGGTGGACACCAAGGGGCCCTTGTCCACCAGCTCAGGCGCCCCCGCCTTGACCACCCCCTCGGAGCTCCCGCTGCCAAGTGGGCGCGTCAGAGAGAAGCAGAGCTTCTCCTTGCCCTTGGCCTTGTGGGAGCTGCGCAGGTCCATGCTGTACAGCCGCTGCGGGGGAAGCCAGGCCACCATGGGTCAGCCCACCCTCCTACGCCAGCACCTTCACTCCTGCTGCTCCTTGCGCCAGAGCAGCCAGGCTCCTCTAGGCCCAGCCTCCTGCCCCGGGGTGGGGGTGGGGCTCCTCCAGGGCACATTCCTTAGACACACCGCAGAGGAGTGGAGCAGAGCTTTCCAACCGAAAACTGACCTAGGCCTGGGAGCGCTCAGTGGTAGATTGCCTTCCTAGCACAATTAAGAACCTGGGTTCTATCCCTAGGATTGTGAAAAAAGAGCAAAAAAGAAAAAGGTCGGGACAAATTAAGGGTTAAAGTAGGCAAATTAAGGGGTCACTCTTCATCCTACAGGAAAGGACTGTTTCCTGAGGAACCTCCAAAGCTGAAACAGCAGCTCCCTGTGGAGGGCAAAGCTGGCGCTGGTTTCCCGGGGCAGCTGGCCCAGGGAAGCCTGCACTGGGCCACACCACACCTGCTCGGGAACGGCCCCATCCAGGCCTGGCCACCGCCAACAAACCTCACCTTTGGTGGGCACACTCAGGTGCAGGGCTCTGCTCATTTGGAGTTTTTTTGTTTGTTTTTGTTTTTTGCTTTTTGGTACAGGGAATCGAACACAGGACCTTGCGCTTGCCAGGCAGGTACTGAGCCAGAGCTACATATCCGGTCCTTCATTTGTCTTACTGACTTTGGGGAGAACCAACATGGCTCTGAGGAAGATCCGTGATGCCAAGGCATGGGGAGATCCAGATCCCACTGCAACAGTACTGCCACTATCACCTGTCCCCAGAGGACAAGAGCTTGTGGGACAGTAGGCTCTGAGATGGGCTCTGTGAGGCTGCATACCCTGAAGCTCAGGAAGCCCCACCCAATGCTGCAAGCTGAGGACTCCAACACTCTGCCCTGCAAAGCGTCCTCCTCAATCCTTTGTCACCTCAGCAGCAGAGATTGGAGCCCCACAGTCTAACCTAGAAGAGATTCCTGGCCTCTCTGGCCTTCAACTACTTCATCAGCAATATTGAGAGGAGCCTGCAAACTGCCATGTGCAGTCCCCACCAGCGACATTCAGGATGTGGCTTCCAAGGCCAGGCACTATGGACTGTGCCTTCTCCCATACTCTGAGAGGACCCCACACAGGGAAGTAAGTGACCACTCCCCTCTCCTGCCACCCATGGAGAGGTCCAGATGACAAGACCCAACACTGTCTTGCTGGGCATGTAAGGGGCCACCAAGGCAGTGAACCCTCCAGCCCCAGGTTTCAGATAACAAGAACCCTTCAATATCTTAACTGCAACTGGAGCTAAAGCACTAAAGAACCAGTGAAAGCCCCACTAAACTCCAGACCCACTGAAACCATGTCATACAATAAATGGTCACAGCTTAAATTGCTGAGTTGGGGGCAACTTGTTACACAGCAGAGGTAATTACTACAGCTACCCAGCAGGTTTGGTGTGTGCAGGAAATGTGTCCAGCATGCAGATGCCTGGCAAGTGTCACATTACCTCCTAGGACCCAGTTGACACCACACCCCATGGATCACACCCACCTGAAGGGAGGCCAAGAACGCCTCAAGTGGCCACGCTGCTTCTGGACCAAGGAGCTTTTAACCCACTTGGTCCTTATCAAGTCAAGGTGTCTCTTTTTTTTTTTTTTTTTTTCCTTTAATTTTTTAATTTGTGTGTGTGTGTGTGTGTGTGTGTGTGTGGCCAGCTCAGGCCACCAGGGGGCGGGCGGGCTGGCATGTGGTGCTGGGGGATTGAACCGCGGTCCCTGTGCTTTGCTGAGCTTGTTCTAAGTAGGTGCTTTAGACCACTGAGCCATCTCACCAGCCCCAAGTCAAGGTGTCTCTTACAGGTGAAAACACTCTAGACACAAGCCCAGAATCACATAAAGCACACCACCACTTCAAACTCCAAATGTTCTTCCTGCCCCCAAGACCTAAGACACAGGTCCCACGAAGTCACAGACTTCCACCTCACCAAGGACTGGGACGGAGGCCCCAGAGGCTTTCACCCAAAAGGCCACACTTCTAGGATTGTGCTACCCCAAGGCCGTTCCAGGAGGCTATACAGCTCTGATCCTGGCTCCTACAATTCCAGCTGCACATGTGTCCTCAATTCTGAAGTTGGTGTTTCTAAGGCTTGCCAATATTACAATTTTGTGTTTGGAGAGTCTGTGCATCCAGAGGGCTTATTTACAAGATTCTAGTGATCCAGAACGAAGACTGCTGGCCATGTTCCTGCCCTCCCTCCCATCAGGACATGCGATCTCCAGGCTGTGTACCCCCACTCTAGCCTTCCCAGTCCCCTCCATGGAGTTGCACCCTGCAGCACCCCCAAAGCACCCTGGCAGTGCTAAAGAAGGGCAGGGAGAGGGGCTCAGGAGCCAGGGCAGAGGTATACAGACCCGAGCTGGGCAACAAGAGGGCGGGGGCCCCAGGGCAGCGGTTACCTGCAGCAGAAGCCGCTTGGGTTTCGGGCCTCTCTTCCTATACCCCGATGCACGGTCTTTCTCCTCCCTGAATGCAAAGCAAGTGGCAGAAGAAAGGAAATACTGGTGACATCTAAGGGGGACCAAGGTATCCACCTGACCCCCTTCCGCTCTCAGGACAGGGACACCTCCACCAGCCACGCATCCTCACCTTTGGGCTGGAACAGTGGGGTCCCATGTTCAACCTCCAGGACTCGAGCTTCCCATGTGCCAAGTGGGATTCATGGACCCAGAAATGTGTGGGTCCCCACTGAGTTTTGGGGCCATGCAAAGCCTTTGCTCAACTTATTACTGGGGCCCCCCAAACATGCAACTCCACTTTGTACTCAGGAGAGCTGTACAGAAGCCTGTCAACCCAATGTGCCTGAGTGTCCCCAGGAAGATGATGAAGATGGGAGGCCCTCTGCAAACCCTCCCCCCCCAGCTCCCCTGACTTGGGACCTGAAGAACCTGGACAGGGGAAGGCCTCTATCCTGTCTGGGCCAGGCAGGCTGGGGAGGAAGAAGAGCCCACCCGAGTGCCCAGCAGATGCTCGCTCTCAGCCGGGCACCTCTATCATACGAGCAGACACACTCGCAAGGCACACTGCGAGGACGTTTAGAGTCCGACACACAGCACACCGAGATTCCACACAACAGAGCCACGCGGCACGGAGTTCTGACTCTTGGTTCAGTTCACACTGCAGAGGCCAGATGAAAGGCGCAGGGCCAGGTCACCCTGTCCCTTCCTCATGAAGCAGTCGATCTCAGTGTCTGCTTCAAATGTCTGACCTCTAGGTAAGAGCCACCATCCCTACGGGGCATCAAGTCCCAGGCGTCAGGAAGGACACCTCGTGGAGGATCCTAGCCCAACCCTGACACCTTCCCACTACCTTCCTTCCCACGTGCCAACACAGTGTACATGATTCTCCTCATTGCCACAACGCTTCTAAGGACTAAGGCCTCACCAACACCCAGGAAGCAGGAAGCAGAAAGCAGGGGGCAAGGACACCCTGATTCTTAACACAGCCCCACTGTTTAAACCACTGGGCTACAAGCATGATTGTCCCATTGAGCTGCTTGTGCAAAAATGGAGCTACTCACTGCGTATCAGTCTTTTCACTAATAAAATTAAAATTAATAAAAAGCCACCCAGTAGAACAGTCAAGTCATACATAGAACACTAGCGATTCAAGCTGCCTAGCAGTGAGACATGAATTACAGTCGTGTTAGGGGAAAGAAAAAAGGAAAGCTGCCTGCTGAATGGCCCGGATCCCCAGGAGAGGGACAGGGACAGCATCCTCCACCCCAAGCTGAGCTGCTTCCCACTGCCGCGAGGACCAATGCCCTAGAGTCTCCATGCTCTTCTCCCCTACATGAGACCCTCAGAAAGCACAGAACAGAAGCTACTCTTGTGACACAGCCCACACTGCACGGGGTGGCAGCCAGGCAGAGGTGGAACTTGGGCTGCTGGCCTGGGATGAAGGGGCAGTGTGCTGGCAGGAGGGGACTGACTGTCCGAGCCACTCTGGAACTGGCGAGGGGACAGCCCAGAGCTGAGTCCAGCCTATAGCCCACCCCAACCTCAGCGCCTGGTGCCTTAGTCACTTTTCTCTTCTACTGGGACAATCTCTGACAGGGCACCTGTGAGCCATCTTCAGAGCCCACACCAGAACTGAACCTCTACCTGGGGTCTGGGGTACAACAGAGAGATGGACCTAGAAGGGAGAAGGGGCCAATGGGAAGCAGGAAAGAGGTCTGGATCTTCAATGCCCACCACATCCCTCAGCTCCAAACCAGGCCAGACGGCCTATGTGACCGACACAAGTCACCCCCACAGGCCCTTCTCAGGGCCAAACCAGTAGCCAGCTTTCTATAACACCTCAGAACTTAAGCCACCTTACTTTTCCTCGTAGGCCATGACAAGGCGGGGGTCTAGGATGTGCTCTTCCGGCTCCCATGTGCTGTACCTGGGGAGAAAGTGACAGGTGAGAGCTCCCCGCCCCCAGGTCCTGGAGTCCGAGCTGTTCTCCCAGGGCCCACTGTCACCAAGCCTTCATCCTGCCCAGCAAGGTGTGACTTATTTACTCCAAGGAGCTGACCTGATCTGGACGTCCCAGGGGTTGCAAGGTCACCGGACTTCCTCTCGTTCACACTGACCCCATCCTATTCCAGTACAGGCCCCATGTTCACCTAAGGTCCTCAGTGCCCAGGAGCAAGCAAGTCTATGTGCAACACACTTCCTACGACAAAAGGAAGTAGACAAAACTCCCAGGGACACTGGAGCCACACTGCCTGGTTCAAATCCCAGCTCTGACCCAGCTAGTTGGGCAACCTTGATCCACCGATTCAACAGCTTCCTGCCTCAGTATCCCCATCTGTAAAGGGCTATAGTGCCAAGTAAATGTGCTGTCTCAGTGGATGCAGTGTGCGGGGAAGCAGGAGTGGGAGCAATCTGCCAGTATTTCCTGTCCCTCACCAGTTAGGCAGCTCCTCCCTAACCCCACAGCTCCTGCCTAGCAAGGCCACCTCCATGAGGAGCCAGCCCCTCCCACCTGGGTGTGCCTGAGCCACGGGGCCTGGCACACGGCAGGTGTCTGATAGGTCTCTAGTGGCCCAGTGGTGTAGCACTTCCAGGGCAAGCACCACCCAGACTACAGAGCACTCTAAGGCGGGGCCGGCCTGGCAGCAGGCACAGAGCTGAGCCCCTGCCGCCTTTACCAGCAGCTGCCTCCTTAACGCAGCTCAGATTTTGTTTAAACTATTTCATTCCATGAGTGAGCAAGCTTTACAACTTCCATAGATGGAGAACCAGTAGCACTCACCACAAATAGATTTAAAGGTTAAAGCTTTTTACATTTAAAAACCTATGTATGTGCATATGAATGCACAAAGCACTCATGTGCCTTACAAACGTACACAGGCACGTGGGCCACATGTGGACATACACCAAACAAAGCAATGCCCTAGATCTTGGCCAGAGTGCTGCTGGCTGAGCAGACAGGTGACTGGTGTTAGACAGGGTCAGGAGGCAGGAAGAGGTCAGGCCGGTGCCGCCAGTGCTGCCTCCTTGTCAGCTGAGCAAAGACACCTGTCCCTTAAGCCTCTTGGGAGGCCTCTGTGACATTTAACATCAAAGCAGGGGCCAACAGCAAGCTGCCTAAGCACAGAATGCTCCCTCCCACCCCGTTTTTGTGGTCTGGGGACTGAACCCAGGGCCTCCGTCATACTTAGCTGCATCCCAGTCTTCCCACTCATCCCTACCACCCCTTTGAGACAGGGTCTCAGTGAATCACTGAATTCCCTCCGTTGGGCTCCAGCCTGCCATCCTCCTGCCTCAGCCTCCTAGAGAGCAGGAATTGCAGGCATGCGTAACCACAGCAGGCTGGCTTCCCTCCTCTCTTGCACTAACACTTAGCTCCCAAGCCTTATGTCAGACCTGTGCGGGCCCTAAGCAGTGAGGGCGGCCTCTGTCCCTGCACACTGCCCTGGTACCCCTCCCGCAGTATATGCCTGCTGGGCATCATGCCCTCTGCCTACCCTGGGCTCTCCTGCTGGGTGCCCTCTCTCTGCAAGCTCCAGGCCACACTCACACCCTTCCTAGCTGCCACCCTCTCAGCAGGACAGAATCCTATGAAGCTCTCCACAGGGCCAGTTCAGGCCCCACGCAGGTGCTCAGCAGTGGGCTAGCCCACACCTCTGTTCCATTTACCACAAACCAAAAATGAAACAGCTGCCAAGAAGCCCAACTATGGTATCCACCATGGACAGGCTAACTCGGCCTTCCTCCCCCAGATAAAAGGTTGGCTGTCCTCAACACTCTCTTCAGGGAATCCTGCATGCCTCTATCCGTTTCACTGACTTCACTGCTGGTCCTCTCTGCCCCACCCACCTTACTGGGCACCCCACTGCCACCACCTTCCTTGCCAAAGTAGCTATTTTGTGATTCCTGACAATTGCTTTCCATCGCTAGACCTGTTTCCTCATTTTGAACAACTACCACCTCCTCAGTAACAGCAGGTACACCGCCTGCCTCCAGAAATTCCTCCTTCTTAATACTCTGCTGAGCTGGGTTCTTAAATTATTACCCAGTTTACAGGGAGAGCTGCCAACCCATTGTGACATCCATGAAACAGGGGCACTGCCTCTCTGACCCTGGTTGTCAGTGTCTGGCCTGGCAAACAGTGGGTACACAGAAGGGGCAGCCAGATTAAGAGGGAGATTGTTTCTGGCTAGAGTCAGCCGCTGCACCTCTGCCAGGTCCTGCTTGATAAACGGCAGGGTGTAGCAGGGGTAGTGCAGACGTCCAAGCCTCCCCAACCTCCCAGGCCCCAGGGTACAATGGTGGCGGCGCGCGTCCTCTGCAGTGCGGGAGACCGCAGTGAGAACACTTCGTCAACAGCGGGGCGCAGCTGGAGCCCCTCTGGTACTCTTGGGATCAGAAAAGTCTGCAGCAAGACCAAGGTAATGACTCCGTAGGAGCGAGCGCCCCACGCTGGTGGAAGGGTGCAGGGCCTCACTCACCCCACCCCGGTAATTGGGCGGTCACATGCACGCGCACGCAGGAGAGGGGGCACTCCCGTGACAACCGGCCAACCAATGGGGACGCGGTGAACCTTGCTAGCTGGCTCCGAGATAAACACGGCCACGTGACCGTCCACCCCGCCCCCCCAGCACGGGTAAACAAGCTCTGGCCACCGCACCCCACTAGGCTGCATAACTCCAGGCCGCCTGGGGCTGGGGACTTGGGAAGAGGCTTGGGATGGGAGTTAAGAGTGTGGGGCGCACTGGAGGGGGGAGGGTGCGGGGGGGGGGGTGCAGCATCCCAACCGGCCTTTCCCAGGGGCTGTGATGCAGGCGTCCAAGGGGCAACTGGATCCAAAGAACCAGGCCAGCATTACCCCACCCCCCCGCCCCCGTAAACTGACCCAAATGAGAAGGGCAGGTCTGGGCTTGGGTACAAAATGGGGGGGAGGCAGTCTCTCTGCAGCTTCAGACTAATGCGGGATTCCCAGTAATCTTTCACTTGGGGTTGGGCTGAAAATTAGATGCGTTCAGTCTCATAACACTCTGATCAATGTGGTATCTGATGAAAGCAAACTAGCGTCAATAAAATCAATTTCAGAAACTACAATGAGCAAAAACCTGCCAGGGCAGGAAGCCAGCGCTCGGTGGCTCCTGCCACGCCCAGCCTTGGAGAAGGAGACATGCCTACCCTGGCCCTGGCAGGCTTCGGTGGCATTGGTGTTGGGGAGCCGTTAGTGGGACCTGGTAGGGCCTCATTTTACAGAAGAAAAAATGGAGGCACGGGGAGGTTGAGGGTTTTGCCTTGGGTCACAGAGCTGACACAGCTACACAAAGGCAAAGCTGTCCCCAAAGCCTGAGCTCATCCTAGTGACCTAGCCAAAAGTCCAACAGGTAAGACACTCCTGGTCACCTTTGGTGTCGCTGGTTCTGCATCACAAGCCCCGGGGTCAGGCAGCTTTTCCCAGCAGGATGACTCTGGGCAAGATCTCTTCTCTCTCCCAATCTGTAAAATGGGTCCCTATGCAGCAATTAATGGACCAATGCCTGCCTCAAAATGGGACTTACTCACTGGCAGCTTAGCTAATGCTTCTGGCCTGAATATCATTACTAAATCTCCACTGAGCCGACCCTTCCTCAGAGGGAGAGTAAGTCATCCCGGATGTGGGAGCGGCAGGGTCCTGGGCAGGCTGAGATGAGAGTTGGTGACCTGCGGTGCAGGGAGCACCTGTTCTATTCCGGACAATTCACATCCTCTGTCCTGTCTGAAGAAATCCCTCAGCCACCCCCGCTGAGCAAGAGGACAGTCACTTGACTTCTTGGGGAGAGAAAACAGGCAAGGCACAGAAAGGCTCCGCGGGGGCCTGGCCAGAGTGATGTACATTTAAATCACTGACGATTAGTAACAGGAGCCTCCCGGCCCAGGGGTGAGAAGGGTGGTGCCAGAACCCAACCCCCGATGAGCCAGGCTCTGCCCAGCCAAAGCCCCCACCCAGGCCTACAGAAACAGCCTCCCTCCCGGCCCCCCAAAGAGGAGCAACTGCAGTTGGAGCTGGCCACAGGGGCTCCGGTTCCCCTGCCCCCGCCCTACACAGAATAGTGAGAAGATGGGAGGCTTGGCAGGTTTGTTTTTCGCACAGACCTATTTCTCCGGCTCTTTTGTTTTGTTAGTTTTGGAGACGGGGTCTCACTAAGTTGTCCAAGTCGACTCAAATTTGCTATCCTGCCTCAGCCTCCAATATTGGTCAGATTACAGCTATGCCACCAAACCCAGCTGCTTTTTTGTTTTGCATTTTTTGTTTGTTTTTGTGGTACTGGGGATCAAATTCAGGACCTTGTACATGCCAGGAAGGTGCTTATGCCACTAAGTTATATCCCTAGCCCTTGCTTTTTTTTCTTTTTTTGGAAAGAAAGGTATTGATATGTAGCCCAGGCTGGCCTGGAACTCATGGCAATCCTCCTGCCTCAGCTTCCTGTTGGTTGGAATTACAGGCTTGTGCTACCATGCCCAGCCTGCAGTTACATTCTTTCAGTGATCTCCTGTCTCTGGACCTCAGTTTCCCCATCTGAAAGGTGAGAAGACTGATCTAAATAAGGGTTTTAGTCTAAGGTTACTTTGAATCCCCTCAGTCCCTTTCCCAGGTGGAACAAATGAAAACAACTCTTCATGGCCTAACTGTGCTCACTTTGAAGGTCCACTACAGCACAGCTCTGCAATGCATATTCACCACCTAATCCTTCAAACAACCGGGCAAGGGAAGCCTTGCAATTCCAATCTAAAGGCCGCAAGCAGAGACCAGCCATGCTGGGACCTGTTCAAAGGCTAACAGCTGCTCGAACCAGCAAAGCCTGCAATCCAGGACCAAATGGCAACAGAAAGCAGGAGCAGGGTTAAGCGGGGCTTCCACAGATTCCAGAACCCCACTGGGGGTCACAAGAAGCAGTCATGAGGAAGGGTGGATGAGTGGGCTCAGCACATTAAGAAACAAGCAATGGGCTGAGGAGATAACTCAGTAGAACAAGCACCTGCCTGGCAAGCGCAGGGTCCTGAGTTCAATCCCCAGTACAAAAAAAAAAAAAAAAAGAAAAAAAGAAGCAGGGGTGGGATGTAACTAGACTCAGCGCCCAGCCCTGCACCTCCCAACAGAAATAAGCAGGGTACACTGGACACAAAAAGCAAGAGCTCCTGCTCTTGGGGTGGTCTCCTGCTCCTGACTCTCCACCCAGCAGGACAAAGGTGTGCTTTTAGAAGATAAAAAGGGGATAAGGAACCTTTTAGCTCTTTCAAAGGAGTCTCCAGACAGTGCCTGGATGCCAACCAGCTGGTAGCAACAGCCACTGTGATGTCTGCCAGGCACACCTGGGCTCTGCCTGTCCCTGCTCACTAGGGCAGGAGTGCACCTGTGACCAGTGGGAAGCGTCCTCCTCAGCCCTCCTGGTGAGGGGAGGGACAGGCACTACCTACCTGCTGTACCAGCTGGCCACCACTCTAGGGTGGTGCAGGGCACCCCTCACATATGCTCAGGTGAAGCACACAGGCCTAGACTACTGAACCACTTAGTGGGGAGGAAAGCTGAGGTACCACGGCCTGTTTCCTCCTGTGCTCACGGCCCTTCCCTGGACCCAGAGAGCAGATCATATTCCTTTGGGTAGAGGGGCTTCTGGGAGCCAGTCTTCAGGAGAGCTAGGGCAGGGCACCCAGACACTAATGGGGGGCCGCTCTTCCCACCTCTACCAACTCTGCGCTGGGAGGTTACTGGCTGTTGGGAGGCCTTCTGACTGGCCCAAGGCAGTAGAGCCAGGCAGCCAGATGAGATCTTAGACCCAGCTTTTGCTCTCTAGTCCCTTGATGGGAGGCTGGTGAGGCACTGGAGAGATCTGAAAATGGGAAGGGCTAGTTCAAGTCTCAAGCCTGCTTCCAGGTGCTGTGTGACCTAAGGCAAGTTCCTCACCATCTCTGAGCATGTTTCCTCATCTTGTGAGCTCAGGATCATGTCCCTCTCACAAGGCCTGGGAACCTCCTTTGGAAAGAGCCATTCTAAGGTGGCTGGCTTTGCCCCTCCTGTGCTGGATCAGCTGAACTTGTGGCCCCTGGGCCTGGCCAGAGTCTCAGCAGCCAAGTGCTGAACCCTCACTGCCAGCTTCCTGTGAAAGCCAGAGAGGGAAGAGAAGAGGAGGCCATACAGCTCAAGCTGGACACCTGCTCTGACCCTCTTGTGGACCAGCCCCTCCTATAGCAGAAGAGAAACTGAGACCCAGAAATGCTGATAACTTAAGAATCGAATGTCCAACTACAAAAGCAGGTAAGAGCTAAAAGCTAAGCAAAGGCAGAGGCAAAAAACAGGTGGGGATGGACAAGACAGACGGACACAAAGGAGCTTACTTGGGGGGCCATCCTTTCCACTTCACCAGATACTCGACTTTGCCCTGGAAGAGAGGGAAATGGATGTGGTGAGACCCACACTTGCCCCCACACCCCTTCCAGAACAAGAAGGCTGCCAGAACCTCACCCCAACCTCTGCGCACAGGTGTCCCTGACCTGAAAACACACCCAGAGAACCTCCACCAGATCCCGGCCAACCCAGAAAGCCTTGAGTGCTAGCTGCTGCCTGATCACAGTTTCCCCTCCGCTACGGTATAAGACTCTGTTGGACCCCAAAAACTCCTGGGGCCCTGGGCCTAAACTCAAGAGTTCCTATCACACGTGGGGAAACAGGCCACGCGGGGCCAGGTGTGCAAGATGAGACCCACCTGGATTAGAGCCTGTGCTGTGCCTCTACCAGCCTCTTCCTTCTTTTTAAATGAGAAGACTTAATTGCAGGCTATTCCTCCCTGGGGTGGCCCAGAGGCAACTGCAGTTAGGGCTCTAGCTGCAAAAGACCCTAGCAGGGCCTTAGAGAAGACTCCACCCTCGGGGAAGGCCCATCAGCCCTCCAGCTGTTAGGACACAGAGCCATTGTCCCCCTTCTTCCCAAGGGATGGGGACCTTTAAAGTGCATCCCAACCCCTTTAGTGAACAAAGCTTCTCCTTACCAAAACTTTATGCCCAATACATAGCACCTTCTCAAAGAGTCCTCCCCTGGCCACCCTTGCATGCTGCTCCTTCCTGGCACCTGACAGTTCTTTTTGCAAAGTGCACATTCCATCCAAAGGCATCTGTATTTACTTCCTTATTCATCCTGCACCTTCCCTGCCTGAATGCCAGCTCCAGGAGAGAAGGAAGGCAGCCCTAGGCTTACACTAGTGCCTGAACGCAGCAGATGGGGTTGCTCCTAACCCCAGCAAGGTCTAGAGTGCCTGGGCGAAGGCTGAATTCCTCACTCCCACCACCTTCCTGGTCCACTGCAGGAGGGATCATCACTGTACCTGTTTTAGGCTATACTCTGTAGGAAACACTGGTGTATAGAATAAATTCTTTCTTAAGCCAAGAAAAACTGGGGAGGGAGTAGGAGAGGTACCCCTAACCAGAAGACAGACCGGGAACCTAAGTAGAGCTGGGGAAGGAAAGAGGCGACCACCGACCCAAGAGGCCAGGCCTGGGTTTTCTCCATAGAAAGGTGGGCTCCAGATCAGTCAACCTGAGCACATGCTTTATCCCCAACTCTAGCTTGCTGATGCACAGGCCTCAGTTTTTGCCTCTGACAAATGGGAGGAGGTGATCTCTAAGAGCACCCCATGAGGCTCCTGGGAGGAGAGGCAGGAAAGGATTGTGAAGGAACTTTTCCTGACGGCCCCTAGCTCCCATGCCCTAGTTTGGGTTGAGACGCCCGGGAAACACGCACAAGTAGAAGACCAAGTCGAGACATCCACCTTTTAAATTGCAGGGTGTGTGTTTTGAAGGCGGAGGCAGATGGGGAGGAGCTCCGAGGACTCCCCTTCGTGGGTTCAGAGCGGCAGGCCGGGCTGGGAGTTGGGGGTGGGGTGGGTGAGGAGTAAAGAAGAGGGGTGTGCAGGGGGGTTGGGATTGAAAAGGTCAAAGTCCAACATAAAAATTTCAGTAACAGTGGGAGAGTTTCCAAAGCTCCAACTTTAAAGCACTTATTACTGAGTGCGGATTTCCCCGGTTCAAACCCACCCCAGACACTAAAGCACGAGGCAAGTTGTTTCCGCAACTCCCACCTCAGTCTCCCATATTTAGCATGAAAAGAGGATAAGGGAGGATGCCACTCAGGATCCCCCCCTCCTCAGGAAGATCCTTTTCTTCAGCTCAGGAGGTGCTCAGCTGCCCCAAGCATCTTGAGGCCACAACTTTGATTCTACTGACCCTATACTGTGGAAGGGAAACTGAGGCACGGGCTGGAGCAAATGGCCAGCATCCCAGGCCTGCCTGGGCCCCAGCGACACTTTCCCCAGTCCCCAGCCTGGAGGGGGCGGTGCTGGGGACCGGAGGAGACCTCTCGGAGGTCCCGGGAGCAGCGCCGGGCAGCCTCACCTTCCGCACGCGCTTCTTCCGGATGCTTTCCACCGCGAACACCTGCTCGCCAATGGCTGACAGCTCCATGCGGGGCGGCGGGCGAGCGGGCCCAGAGCCGGGCCGGGCCGGGCCAGGTCGGGGGCGGAGCTGCGGGACCGCGGCTG